AAGAAGAGAGGCAGCTTAGACGAATCGGCCGTTCATTTCTTGCGCAAAACATCGCATGGGGATCTTTGTAGCTAAGGAGGCATGCAAGCAAGTTGCCGTTATATGGTCGATAAGAGCGCAGTTTACAGATCAAACCTCACCCTCTTCTGTTCTCTTTCACATTTTCCCCCTGTACTCCATGCCACTCGCATTTCGGTTTGAAAAATAATGGACCCAATCCAAGAAAGTCAGGCGTGTTTAAATCAAATTCTGCTGATCTCAGTGGGAAAGATTTAAGCACGCGCTGAGATCTCCTGTTGAAATAAACGACACTGAAAAGTAATTGACCTTCATATTGCTAAGGATACGGGTGGCATTTCAGTGTAATTCTTGGGGATTTTATTGTTGTTTTTACATGGCTAAGGAAGGAAGACAAGAATCAGAGGGGACCACGTGCTCAGCTAGTTTTCCCACCTGTCTTAACCCAGTTCAGCCAAGAAAACAACGAAACTCCTTATCTTCTCCATAGAGAACATGCACATATGGATATGCCTCTCCTGGGCATGCTTGCACGAACGCATATCTGTCTGAACCTAGAGAACCCTGAAGCTCGCGGACACTAACCCCGGATGGTGATAGATCACAAATGACAGAGATCATAAATGAACTTACCTAGGAGTACGCAGCTCACATGCTTTTCTAGAGAGAAACACTCCCAGTTAAGTTTTCCTAGGATGGTGGTAGCCTTAGAATTCTAAAAGCCCCTTGCAAAGTCTCCCGAGAACACGTGTCTGGGATCAGACCTGTCCGCACATGCAGAGTCCGAGCTACCAGTCAACACGAGAGCGCTGGCGGTGGCTGGATCGCGCTCGGAGAAGTCCCACGTGCCGGCGGGGCAGGGACAGCAGCGCTGCGAGGCAACGCGTCTGCTTCTGCATCTGAAGTGTGCACTAAAGGAGAGCATTTCAGAGGTGCGCGCAAACGGCCTCTCAAAACTCTCCGCTCTGTGTAGGGGCGGGGGGAGAGACGCAGCAATTTCATTGAATTTCTTTAAGAGGGTGAGAATTTTCCAAGTTTCTCATAGGCAGGACCCACCGTTAATTGGGGTTGTGGCACAGCTTTTTTCTTTTTGCCCAAGTGCTGTGCTGTGTTGTGTCTGCCTGTTTGCAGGTCAGGGAGGCTTGTGCTGCCACTGGAGGTGAAAACAGCAGCAATTGTGTTGACAATTGTGTTGATGTGTTCTTCATCATACACAACGCTCCGTGCCTAGCCTTGTCCTGGAGGGGGACATAGACCAACATTTTTTAAAAAGGAAAAATGGAGGTAATGTTGCAGAGAGGCATTGTATTTGTGGAGATAGAGAAGAAAAAACATCTCAGAGCTTTTCTAAGAAAAATCTCTTCTGCTAGGGCATGTTATATTTAATTCTGAATTTGTTTTCGAGCTTACCAAGTCACTTCCAAGTGGCAGAGGGTGCAACGAATGGTTCCTGCCCTGAAAAAGAGCTCTGTGGGACAAATTAATTCATGGTGTCTTCCCTGGCTTTAACTGATGTGTTGAAAGCCAGAGGGACTACAGGCTGCCAGAGAAATGCTTGCACAGTGAAAGAGAGAACACTCATGCACACGCCTGGGCACCTCATGGGTGAGGTAAGTGCAAGAACCCCAAAACCAACCCATGAGAACGCCTCTGAAATGTTATTCTCCTAGGAATTTCTTTTCAAACGCAATTTATTTTATATCCAATTGAATAAAAAGGGTGGGGGAAATGTGAAAGGAAATTTCAGCACAGTCGCAAAATATTTCATTTGCAGGTTTTAGCTGGTATATATAATCAGGTGGGATCTGGTAGTTATCTATTAACCTCTCGCTCTCCTTTCTCTCTTAGCTGTATGTTTTCAAAGAGCTCTTTTGTTAGCATCCTTATTTTGCCTCCATAAAAATGGAGAGGGGAGGAGAATGAGGAAAAAATATTAGGGGTTAGAAAGACTCCCTGAATTGTGAACATATTGTGGAAGACAATGGCTTATTTAACTCATGCAGAAATGATCCAAATCTAGACAAACACCACAGAGAAATGGCTCATGTTGTCACCCTTTTCACGTCCCCTGGATTAAGGATCAGCAATATGGCCATAAAACAGCGTTCCCTAACCAGACCTGTGTGGACGACAACTGCCATCCTGCTGAGCCACAGGGCTGGAAAGGATGAGACTGGAGGTCTAACACAGCTGGAGGGCATCAGCTTAAAGGAAGCTGATGCAAACGTGTCCTCTTTGATAACAGGGTGTCTTTCCTCCTTGCTACACTTTCCCAGGTTTCTTGGCCCAACAATATTCCCCCTTGACCTGAAAAAGCAGAATTGGAAGTTCCTTCCTATTGACTTGAATTCTTCAGGCAAAACAGCATAGCTCCTTCATGTCTTCTCAAATGGGTAAGCAAAGGTGCATAAAAATTATATTGCATTGCTGCTGGAATGCTCAAGAATTTGGGAAGTTTTCAAACAGCGAAAAGACCTTAAACATGTCCTTGGAAAACACCAGCAGTTGACAGATGGATCCTAGGGGAAAGAAAGGGAGAGCGTCTAATTGCAAGGGGTTCTCCTGCCAAAAGCAAAACAAAACCTGGAGAGAGACCATGCACCCTCGGACTCCCTTTGGCAGTTTGTGGCAAAGCTGCCTTTGATTTCGATGCATTGCCATCCCTGTCCTGAAATTTTTTCACTGGCACATAATTCATTGATCCCACTGGCAAAGGCTTCGAAGTAATGATGTGATTCATTCCTCCCTAAACCTGCTTACTCAAAAATAAATTATTTTCCCTCTCTCACAGTTTAATCTGTAAGTCTTCATGGCAGAACATGTCTTTCTGCTAGCCATTTTCTGTAATGTGCAACCTACACTTTAGACTCTCTATTATGGTTGTTATTGTCAAAGATGCAGTACTGCAGGTGTTACTACTAAATACTGACATTCTTAGTAGGATTGTGAAACCCTTTAATCTTCATTCCCAAGTGTAACAAAGCTTTGTATACCTGTAGCTGCATTTACACATACGTATCTTTTGCTAAGGTTTTGTCTCCCCCTTTTCCATGGTAGTCTCTATTTAGATCATTGCAGACAAGGGAGTTTTCCATCTATTTGCACTGTTGCCTATGAAAACTCTTTTAAGGAGCTATGTATACTGATATCACTGTGCAAAGTAGCAGCAGAAGCGGAGGAGAAAGCAGCAGCAGCAGAAATATCTTCTGGTCCATCTCTTGGGGTGAGTCTCATGCAATAAGCCTAACTTACCACTAAGGTTGGGGCATATTAAGCACCTTCACTTGGAAATAGGACTTACTCTCCAGAGTTGCAGTCCTGAGCACATTGACACAACAACTCCATATTAAAGTTGACAGACAGCAACCTGACTTTCAACATGGATGAAAATAAGGGTACAAGATTGTAATTCTTATTAAAATTTATAGCACACTCTTAAGGCAGGTCTCTGTATTTCCATGGATGTGGTAAGTGTCTCACTGACCTGAGAAGTCAATTCACTTTTTGCAGTGACTTTCAGCAAAAAATGCTTTCTTAAAAAAAAAAAAAGCCAGGGGAGTTGCACACAGAGAGACACTTCAGACATAATGCTGTGCCCCTCCCCCATTAGCCTGACTCCCCCCAAATATTTTGGCTTGTAGTTCTCGGCATGTCTGACCACTAACGATGTTGGCGGGTGCTGATGGAAGCTGAAGTCCAAAACATCCCGAGAACTTTAGATGGAAATAAACTGATGCACTGTTTCTGGTGGGAAGAATCTTCCCGATGATTTAAAAAGGACCGGAGGAAACCAAGGTGGGAGCACAAGCATACATCATATGGAGGTAGGAACATTGCACTGTATTGAGTTTATTTCCAAGTAAATCTGACTGAGAGTTACATTTCTTTTAAAGTGGAAATGAAGAAGAAAGGGAGATAGAAATCAGCATGCCCTCTTTCCAAACAAGGCTTCAGTCTTAAGCCTATGTGTTGAGAATCAATGGGACTTAAAATGGGATAAAAATTCTCCTAAACGTGGACCTTAAAGCTGCTTTTTGACGAGCCTTTACTTGGAAGTAAATTCCAAGAAATGTGCTTAGGACCAGACTGCTAATCCCGTGGACTGCAGTGGATAGAACTTAACTCTAGGAAGTTCTGGAGTGTGTTTGCAGGACAGGCAGATTTTCTGCGACTAACACCTGCGGATTTCTGCTTCCTAATAAATGCGCCTAGGAGTAAGCAGCATGACTAGGAACAAAGTCCCGCTAATTTATCCCGTTGCACAGGTCGATCCCTCCCCGAAGGCTTCCGCCGAGAGTCGAGGATGTGCCCGGAGTGCCGGCTGCGGCACACGGCCCTGGCTGAAGCGACGTGCGAGAAGGTGAGCCGGTGTCCGCCCGAGGCCCAGGCTTGCCAAAAGCCCGAGGAGCTCCAAAAGACCGTGGAGAGTCGGGGGGGGGGGGGGGGGTGCCGGCGGACGACGATCTCGTCCACTTTCCCCGGCTCCAAGCAGGCCGTGGCACGGTAGGAAACGAGCCGATCCGGCCGAAGGAGAAGAAGAGCGCAACAGGGGGAAGGCGAAAGGCCTCGGCGGCTGGCGAAGACGGAGCCCGTCGATTGGCCGTGCGGGGCGGGGCGGGGGGGTCGGCGGGGAAAAAGTGCGGCGGGGGCGTCGGGGAAGGCCGCCTGGGAAGCGTGGGTGGGGTTGACAAGAATGGGGGACATTATGCGGGGCTTCTGGCAAACAAGGGGCATAATGGGGAGCGTGCGGCGGCGGTGCCAAGGCGCGCCACAAAAGCCTATTGACTGCGGCCTGGGCCGCTCCCGGCGCAGCCCTCGTCACATGGCCCCCGAAGGGGCTATTTAAAGGCGGCCGCGCGGCCCTTTCAGCACCACTGGCGCTGGTCAGCGCCCCGCGAGGAGCCGGCCCGGCAGCGGCGGCGGCGGCGGCGGCGGCAGAGCTGAAGCGCCGGGGCGACGGCAAGGCTGGACGGGGCGGAGTCATGCCGCGCTCCTTCCTGGTGGACTCGCTGGTGCTGCGCGAGAGCGGCGGCGGCGGCGGCGGCGACAAGAAGGGCGGCGGGAGCGGCGGCGGCAGCTCGCCGGGCAGCCCGCCGCCTCCGCCGCTCTTCCCGTACGCCGTGCACCCGTCGCACCCGCTGCACGGGCTGTCCTCCGGCGGCGCCTGCCCGGCGGCTCCGGGCGCCACGTCGGCGGCGCGCAAGGCCGGCCTGCTGTGCGTGTGCCCGCTGTGCGTGGCCGCCGCTTCGCAGCTGCACCCGCCGCCGCCGCCGCCGGCCCTGCCGCTCCTCAAGGCGTCCTTCCCGCCCTTCGGCTCCCAGTACTGCCCGTCGCCCCTCGCCGCCCGGCAGCCTCCCGGAGGCTCCGCCGCGGCGCCCGCCCTCTACCAGAACGCCTACCCCCTGCCCGACCCGCGGCACTTCCACTGCATCTCGGTCGGTGAGTCGCCTGGTTCCGCGGGGCGGGGCGGGCCGGGCCGGGCCGGGGCGCGATTCGGGAAGGGGACGGGACCGGCTCCTCGCCGCAGAGCCTGCCCCGCGGGTTGATGCCAGGCACGGTCTGCGCGCTGCTGGGGCTGGAAGAAGTGGGGTTTACTTCTAAGTAGCTGCCCCCAGCCTGACCTAGAAGTGGACGCGCAGGGGTTTCAGTGGGACCTTCTTTCGAGTGAACGAGCTATAAGGATCGAGGTGCCAACGTATTTGGGATTGAGATTAATTGGGGGTAGGGAGGGGCGACAGGGAATGCAGGCTCGTGCAAGCTTTTCTCATCCCATTTTCCTTAGCTGAGATCCCAAAGGAAGTTAATAATGACGTTAATCCACTCCATGACTACTCAGATGTCAGCCTGTTTGAGTTCAATGGAATTTACTTCTAGTAAACGGGTATACAGTGGCAGCCTAAGATTATTTGACATCCACAGGCTGGCCAGTGCACCACTCAAGCCTGGATATCTGATGGGATTAGTAAATGTCCTTAATGCTGAGGACTTTTGCAAAGGTGTGAAAGAACCAGGTTGCCCCCAAGCAGTGCTGCTGAGCTGAGGCAGGTCTCCCATGCCTCTCCCCATCATACACCATCAGCATCCATGGTGTGGAGCTGCACACCCTTGGAGCTACGATATATGTGGTTCTCTGCATTTCCACCTGCTTCTGAACGAATTACATGCACGTGCTATCCAAAAACTGGCAGCAATTAAGAGTCACAGGACAGCCCTAGGAGGAAATGAGCCCCGTGAATTCAGCGGGACATTTCCGAGGAACAGCTTTGAGTCAACCCAGTGGGGTGCCAAATGCAGCATGCCATGCGTAGATATTGGGGAAATAAATTTCCACTCTGGAATGGGGGGTAGTCCACTGAGTGCATAGCTATTGTGTTGTCCTTCTCATGGTTCCCCTACAAGGAAATGAGTGATCTTTCCTTTCACCCCTCCCTTAGCGCCTTGTAGTCTTCTCTGAGGAACTGCTAGATCAGGAATGAATAAGTCAGGGTGCATGTTCAGCCAAGATTCCGGCACAGCAACTGGTTACTTTGGAGGTGTTGGGATGGCTTGGACTGGGGGCTTGTGTCGGCTGGGGCACACAGCCATAGCGCCAACCTTTCCTTGACTCTGCATTTTCCCTTCTTCCTCCAGACAGCACATCAGGCCAGCTGCCCAGCAGCAAACGGATGCGCACGGCTTTCACCAGCACACAACTCCTGGAGCTGGAACGTGAGTTCGCCTCCAACATGTACCTGTCACGGCTAAGGCGCATTGAGATTGCCACCTACTTGAACCTCTCTGAGAAGCAGGTGAAGATCTGGTTCCAGAACCGCCGTGTCAAACACAAGAAGGAAGGCAAGAGTAGCTCCCACCGCTCCGGCTCGGGTTCTGGGGCGCACAGCTGCAAGTGTGCCTCCCTTTCTGCAGTGGTCAAGTGCACAGAAGATGATGAGGACTTGCCTATGTCTCCTTCCTCCTCGGGCAAAGATGAGAGAGACCTTGATGTCACCCCTTAAGAAGACTCCAGCCACCACTGGCTGCTTTGGCAAGCATTTTCTCAACCCTTTTGTACAGTGAGATTGTAACTGAGAGATTCTTGGCCCCTGAATGCCAGGTGTAAATGCCATCTGTGTAAATATGTCTCCCTCTGCAAACTCTCCAGAGCTGCAAAGGAATGGAGTGTAATATATTCTCCATCAGAACCAGCTCTCTCCCCACCCCACTCTGTTACGGAGTGGGTTGAAATAGGCTGCACCTAGTGAATGGAGTTGACCAATCTGTTACCCTTCTCTCTGGGGAGGAAAACTTGGTTAATCTCTGTCAGTGGCTGGGAATCCTTCTGTTTTGATGTCTCCAAACTTTCCCTCCTTCCCTTTCTCTTCCCCCTCTCCTCTCTCTGGCCCTTACCTAACACAGAATGGAGATCCTGTTATCTGAGGAGTCTTCCTGTGATCTTTTGAGGCAGGGAGTTAAATGTGAAATGCAGGGCAGACAACAACTGTTTTATCATGGTTGTATTTTTTTTTTCTTTTAAGAATTGGTTTGATGAAGTTTCTTCAAACATATTGTAGTGTATGACTGTACTGTTCTCCATAATACCTGGAAATATTTATTTATTTATTTATGTGCACACATTCAGAAACAGAAAAAAGGGGGGTTGCCATTAAAAATACATTTCCCCCATTTAGGAAGGGGTGGGGTGAACCCAGAAATTGCTGTCTTGGATGGGGCATCATTCAGCTAAAGCTGAAGCATTTTCAAATCCGATTAATTTCAGTATGGGAACTGAAGCCAATATGATTTGGCTTTGCTTACTTTTGGGTAGATGGTGCTCACAGTTTGGATATCTCCAATTGTTTCCTTTTCCCTTTTTCAAAACGGTTGATTTCAGTGGGAAAGATTTCAGTCATTTCAACTCTGCTGAAATCAATGGGACTAAAACTATCCAGTTCATCCTGGATCATAGCCAATGTTTGATGAAATAGTAGATGCTCAGGTGTTCCTCAGTTCCTTACAACTGTCACAGGGGTCTTATCTACATTGCTGAGAAACATTATGATTCAGTCTGACACATATGAGTAGGTATCATGCAGCATCTGTATATTTCACAGCAGTATATAAATGTGCATACATTATATCCTTCTGCTCAAATCTTTCCTTTATGAATGTTTAACTTTGCCCCTCTGCTTTCCTTGGAATAAAGCAGGAAAGTGAACAGAAATTGACCCCATATCAAATATAAGAGCTATTTATAAATAAGCATATATTTGAAAAACATATCCATTTCTGTTTTCTTCTATTTTTTTCTCCAACCTGTATTATTGATAATAGAACTGGAAATAATATTATTTGAAAAAACATAATGATATTCAAGTAACAGTCTGATGGAACATCCCTATATGTGTAAGCATCTACACAGCCCAATTGTGGTCATTTTGTCTTGGAACCCAGGGTGCAACCCTATGCAAATTTAGATGGAGAAAAAGCCTACAGCTTCAACATGCTGACTGAGCTGCGCTGAGTCTCCTCGGTCTTTTTCTGTCTAAATATGCTTAGAATTGCACCTGAAATTTCATGGGTTTGCATGAAATGGAGGTTGCTTAAGATCACAGTCTTAAAGAATTCAGTCAAGTACGACCACAACCTTCTGTTTGAGAATCCAGAATATCATTCTGCCAACCTTTTAGTGTAAGTTTTTTTTCCCCCAGAGAGATATCTTTTAAAAAGAAAGGCTCTACTTTCCCACCACTACTGCAAACCTGTTCCCCTTTCTGGAAATCTAGAAATGGTACACCTTTCTGAAAATGAAAAAGCAGACCTCCTTAACAGTGCCGTACTGTTAATATGCTCCCCTTTCCCACTTCACAATTTGACCAACAAGTGCTCTAAGTGATCCCATTGGTGTTACTTATATATTTGTTCACATAAACTGCTACCTGGAGCCTTTATTTTTAAATGAAGAAACTGTGTTTTGCATTTCAGGGTATCCACAGTGACTTCCCCATTTAGCCAATTAGGGGAAATGATTTCAGAATAGCCCTGTCTGGAATGTCCTTCCATTTAAATGAGCTTTGGAAAGAGCATGTACCACTTGGAGCATTTTGGCCGTTTCTTGAACTACACCTGAGTGGTGATGGAGGGATCCTCGTCTTCACTTCCTGGGGGTCCTTTTGCACATTTCTCCCCCTGTGCAGTGAGCTGTCCTCCGATTCAGCACTGAAACACCCTGCTCTTGCTTTGAAAACTTAATGGAGAACCTGGAAGCACTACAAACAAACACAAACAACCCACCCACCCCACAAGCACACAAAATTTATGGTGGCATCAGCTTTTCCAGGATGAAATGCTTGATATCATATGCACCAAGTGTTCCCCTCAGTTGGGATGGATAAATCAGTAAATAGATAGGGTTGTAACCATTTTCAGTCTAACTTAGTCCCATCCATTTTAACAGATATATTGTGAGTGTGTACCAGCTGCATATTAGCTCAGTTGTAAACTGTTACTCCTTGGTCAGGATGACTAAAAATCATGGGTGGAATTGGTAAGACAAGGAATTCACCAGAACATTCTGCAGTGCTGGGGAAAAAATAGTTTATTTGTTTTTGCCTCTTCGCTCAGCAGCTTGGTGTAACATTTTGGAAGCGGCAATAAAAAGAATTCTGATCTGTTATGATCACTGACTACAAATGGTTATGTACATTAAAATTATTCCATTTCATCTGATCACTCATTATTTTTAGGGAACCTGTAAACACAGCAAAAGCACTTCTTAAAGAGTTGATGTTTGGGAATATATGATCCAAGGTCCTGAAGATTACCCTGAAGTAACGCCTATTTGATTCAACAATTCTCACTCCTGAGTAAATGTGTACATGTCTGCAGCAGGTTGCTTTCATGCACATCGGTGGGCATGGAATGAATTAAAACTTAGGTTATGCAAGGGGGAATTACAGCTGATGAATTAGTGAGAATTCCTGAGACTGGACTTCAACCTTCTTTGCTTCTTTACTACTTTCTGAAGGCTCCAGTTAAAAACAAACATGCCCCAATCTATTGCTAACCACAGGCACATAATTTTAAGATTACATTTTTGGAAATTGGTGGAGGATGGTGGAGGCTGTACTTTAGATCAATTCTGTCAGGGAGTCTAAAGTTCTCCCTTCCCTGTCTCTATGGTGCTCAGAGATGCAATTACAAGTTCTTAGGGTTGGATCTAGACATGGAAATTAATGCCTAAGTTAAGTCCCATTGATTTCAAGAGATCTAACCTAGCCTTATTCAGTTTCAACTGCATTGGAACAGATGCTCACAGAAGCTTCTCTTCTGAACAGCCTATCACAAAGATACTAAACTGAAAACCAATTTGTTTGGTTGTGGATGCATTTTGTTTTAAAAACTAGATTTCTTTGATTGTAAAGCAGATTTCTTCCAGAAGTTCATAGAGAGTGCTGACTAATATAGATTTATAACAAGGCTGTAATTTTTAAATTAAAGTGTTGTTTAATCAAATGCTTGTGCCCATTTACAGTCCCAGACAGATCTCATAGTTAGCATAGACTGCTTGTCCTTCAATTGATACTCATGCCACTGAAGGAAGTGAAACTGATATGGAGTTGCCACCATGGGTAAAAGCAGCACTGGTGGAATTTTGGCTTCTTATATAGCGGTTAAGGGCACAGAAACAAAATCCAAGTACTTGTTCTTGGCAATAAGTTAAATGAAGTATCATTAAATGTTCTTAGTTGCAGGTTAAGTATGGAGGTTAGAGGAAGGATCTTAAGAAACTGGATGCAATAGTGATGCACAAGACCCAGGGAGAAGCCATGTTGTAATGTGCAAGGAGTCATCCTCTGTCCATGTTTTGGCATAAGAGCTCCCAGCAGCACCAACTCTCTGAAATTTTTCTCCTGTGCCCTGTAAAATGAGTCAGGACAGCAAAAGGACATTAAGGTAGGTGAAGACGAGTGATGATCTTTTAAGAGAAATCCTATACCTGTTCTAGAGTAGGAATTATACCATAAAGGGCATTTCTTATATTACATATAGCTGCTGGCACAACATTTCTGTTACATTTGCACAACATCACTCAGCTTCAGCTTCTTCAGAGTAACAGTCCACTCCTATTGTCTATCCCCAGCATCTGATATTCACAGCTATACTGCCACTGGATGTGGAGGTTCCATTAATTGTTACAGACCAAAAGGCATACTCTTTTCTTCCTAGACAGTTTAGACTGAAAACCTCACATGCCCAAAGCAAGGATCATCCCTGAGATCAAGGTGCCACCTTTTGGTATGCAAAGTCACACCAATGCCTGTGCTTGTCTGGTGTGATCACTTTTGGCACCCTTACTTGTGCCAACAGAGACACTTCTTCTTTTCCTCATAAACTCCCCGGCTCAAGCATTTCAAGTACCAGGTTTGTGAGATTGGGTAGTCATAATTTAGGAGGGTTTTTATTAGAGTGACATATGTGGATAAGAGGTAAGGAGGAATCCACCACCACACTCCATGGGCAGTTGATGGTTGCATTCCACATGGACTCATAACTCCAGGTTGGAATGGGCATCCTGCAGCTGCAAGGAGCCCTGATTTCAAAAGCCCTCTGCATACAATCAGTGCAGACCGTTGGAAAGATCTGTCCCTTTCCTAGCAGCTCAATGGTAGAGAAGAAAGAAGGGAATGAAAGACAGTGCAAAAGAAATAGAAAGCAGTCCGAAGGGGGGGGGGTGCCTGGGAGAGGAAAAGGTGAGCCACCCACTTTTGGTTTCCCACTGCCCTGGCCTATGCCAGTGGATAGATGGCATAGGTCAAAATAGCTGGGCAAAGGACAGCCAGAGGTACTGGCCGACCAGTGAAAACAACACAGAGGAAGGCTGGAAACAGTGCAGCTCCTTCTCCAGCCTTATCTGAAAAAGAAAAACCATCCCTAGAAGATAGCCATCCCTAAACTAAGTTCACTAACCATGGAGCACCACGGATAGCTCAGAATAAAAGCTGCAATGGATCAGGCG